TAAAGATTCAAAAAAAATCTAGTTGATTTCAATTTAATAGGAAGCTTTGTAGATCTGACTTATAGGTGTATTTTGGAATTATATAAAGGTAATATTGTTTAAATAATTAAGTTGAAAATATTAAGAAGTTGACTATTAAATAGTTTATTTTATTAAACTTTTACATTTTTAATTTTAATAATAAAACTATTTATTTAAAGATTAGAATAAATTATGATCAAACTTGATTCTTTATAAGCATTTAATTTAATTTATCTTCAAAATCAGCAATTGTGCATAAAACTGTTTAATTATTTATAATCAATTAAGTCGATAAATCGAAAATCTTATATTTTAACTTGTTCTAACACTCTTCAATTCTATATTATCATTAAAAACAATAATCAATGAATTGTTAAGATTGTTATTGTGAATGAAGAGGTTATCATCAGAAAAATTGCTATGAATTAAAATTAAATTTTTAAATGTGATATCAACTTTGTTGTTAATATTTTCCAAAATAAATCCATAATATAAAGTAAAAGACTCTGTTTTTCATTACAACGGAATCATAATTAGTTATTTTTATTTAATCATTTGAACTCAAGATATTTTGATAAACTGAGGAGAGACTTATTTAAATTTACTTTAAAGAATAGATTTTTTTTCTTAAGCCAATCCGAACTTCAAGTTTCCAAGTTATTTTGTTGTCATTTCATCTTCTCCAATTAGTTTGCAATACCGAGAATTAATATACTTTTCATATTCATCTTTCATATATATCTTGTGTTTAGACATGTAATAAGTGTAGGAAAATCTATTATGGCAACTCTAGTTAAAACAATATTTAACATTTGCAAAATAAGGATCGATTATTATATTAGGGTCATCGACTGATTTCAAACATTTTATTGTAAATTAAGAACTTTATTTCTATAGCTAAAACTAAAAGTCTATTTGCAAAGCCTAATATAATTTTATTAATTACAGATATTTCTTTTTCACCTATCACTTAACAATATTTGCATAAATTAGAACAGGCTATGCATTGTCCTTCAGTTTCAACTCTGACTTGTGTTTTGTAGTAATTTAAAGAACATTTAAAAAAAAGAAAAGAAAGTTTATCAACTTTACAATTTAAGCATAGACTACTACAATATTTTTTAGACTATTAAAATATTGTTAATTAATATCCAGTTTTACATTTAACTTCAATTTTCGCTAACTAATCTGGAGAAAAATAATAATAATATTAATCACCCTTAAAAAATTCTCCTTATATAACAAACATAAAGACTATTAAAAAATTTCCAAAATTTCCTTTTTGTAACAATTTCCTATAATTATGGATTGAGAGAATTTTTATAATTATTTCTATTTTCACAATCATAAAAAATATAACCAATAATATTAATTAATATAAAAAATTAAACTTGGTAAAATATAATATTGAGCTAATAAACCCCTATTTAGAGATTACACATTGAAGCTTTGATTTAGGAGGAAGGACAAATTATTAACAACTAGAATAATACTTTTCACAATTTGTTATTTCAGGTGCAATGCTAAAAATCAGTTTAAGAGTGTTCCTTGTGTTAAAATGTAATTGGATTCGCAATAGACTTAAATGAATGAGTTAAACGGATATAAATTTATAAAATACATTTCTAATCATGTTCAAAAAAAATTGAAAAATATTAATTATCATTAAATAGGAGAGCGCTGAGTAGAATAAGAAGAAATTGTAAGAAATACACACACCATAAGGCCTCCAGTATATAATCCAAATTTAAGAACAAAAAACGAAACCTATTCCAACATAAAGAAAATAGTTGAAAAATGACTATCATTTCGTTTATCAGTTATTTTATGAAATAGTTTATCTTCATTGAAATTTCAGATGGCCATTTAGAGATTTTTTCATTGTATCTTAGTAGAAATAGAATAAAGAATAATATTATTCAATACTAAAGATATTTTAGATGAATTATCATTCGAAATTAGACATTAAATTCCTATTTTTAAAATATTAAGAATATTATTAAATTGTATCAAAAACCAAAAAGTAAGCTTATTATGTTAAAAAAAAAATTTGAAATCTTTTATAAATAGAGTAAAGGGGCATATTATATTAATTAAAAATATTACTAATACTAAAATCCCTTTGAATGTGTAGCTAAGAGAAATTTATGGATCATTCTTCTAATGACCTCTCATTTATTGACATCCCTTTTAGAAGATTGTGATTAAGCCAAATAAGGAAAATATAATTAGGTGAGTAATTATTTAAATGAAGTCATTTTATAGGATACAATTATTTATTATTCAGTTCAAGTTTAGATCATTGATACCAAATATCCTGGGTCATTGTTAAATTTAAGTGATGACTCTTTTTTTGTGGACCTCTAACCTATCCATTTGATTATATTTAAACTTAAAAATGTACTTTAAATAAAGATGTTATCATTTGCCAGTTTGACAAATTTTTATGTTAGAGAGATTTAAAGTTCAGCATTATACAAGTCTTGCAGTCTCTAATGCCTTTCCATAAAATTTTTAGTTGTATTAAAGGTTATTTAGAAATATAAGCTCTTTTATTTGCATAATTTTATAATTGGGGGTGTAAATATTTAACTTCAAGAATATTAGGAATATCTCAGCTATAGCTCTTTCTCAAAATAAGCAGATTGCCTAAAATATTTCTTACCATAAATAATGAAAATATAATTTTGAAATAGATCTCAATCGATTATTTCAATTTTCTATAATTTTTTATTATTCTCTAAATGTGCTATAATCTTATCTTCAAATAATTGGTTGCCTTATTAATTTGTTAAGTATCCAAATTTATGTCTTGCTTATTACAAATAAAATAACTTTGCAGATGAAATTTCTCTTCCAAAATTGAGTACATCTGTATCAGTTCTTCAAGCAACTATTAGATAAAATTATTTTTTAGAATGGGTGTGTCAATAACAAATTGAAAAGTCTTTTAATTTTGGTATTATTTTTTTAATTTATATTAATGCCTTTTATTTTTGACATCACGATAAATTTCATCTGTAAATAAGATTGAGATTTAGGTAGCATTTCTTTAATTATTCCTCCAATAACATTTTAATATTGTTAAGAAGTAGTAAGCTATGTAATATTAGCAGAACTTTCATATAATAAATATCATAATAAAGAGAAAAGGTATGTAAGATTGCACTTTTGCAATTGCATAAATATTGAATCATTTGTTTCCTTCATGTTTAAAAAATAATTTAAACCTAACTACTAGCAAGATAGATCCAAGAGATCTATCGATAATTATTATTAGATAACTAATCGATCTTAAATTTGTTAGTCAGATATTTTAATTAACTAATATATATTTTCTAGAACTTGCTATTTGCCATTAATGTGCATTATTATGATTCTAAATATTCTATGAAATCATAAATTTATTTACATTTATTTTCATGAATGATAGGACTTAGTGCTATGGCGTGTTCCAAATTAGAAATTGCTTCTGTATAATGTCCCAAACATTGTATAAAAAAATTTAAACCTTTTTGTCTTCAAATAAATGCTATCGAAACAATAAAGCTTATAAAAATGTGGATTTAATTCAATAACAGTATCCAAATCTTTTAGTGCTTCATTGCAAGAATTCATTATAAATA